CCAAGGTATACCTACGGTAACAGTGTAGGATATTTTTTGCCAATAGATAATTACGATTGACAAATTTTTGCCCAGCTTTTACAACAGTTTCTTGAACGATTGTATAATTAAAAAAGCCGCGTTTAAACATATCACTCAAGGCTTTTATTCAACAATGTAAAACAAGAAAATACAATTTTCCAAGTGATGTATTGATCGATAATAATTGAAAATAGCTACTCCAGGTGCTACCACACGTAGAACGAATGTGTGGTTTACGAACGAGTGCAATGCGTAGCAATCATTTGAGCATGTTTATCAAATAAGCTTTCGTAATAGGTTCCATTTGTAATGTTTAACGTTATCGAGGGCTGGATATTCCTTGTGCTATAATTATAATGTTTTTGCAAGAAATTGTGATTAGTCAATTTTTTTCTGGTGAGTCAGAAGGCATTTTATTTTATTAATCATCAAAGTATAAAGGAATCGTTGCCTTACTTGAATGAATGTGCCGGCTCTTGTGTATAATGAATCAAACACTCCGGTTTGGAAATTCCAAAACAAACGTTGTACTACGTCACAGAAAAGTTAGCTGTCTTCTGACTTCTTAGGAATGTGCTGATTATTTTGTATAGAGTATTCATCACCTTGATTTCTCAAGAATTGAAGAGAAACAGTTATAAAACAATCGTCACCTTATATTACACTGTGGGCATTTGACGTCTTACTTTCAGGAATATGCGGACTTCTGTCCATAGAGTGTCGCTTTGCTATACTAGTGTGTGGCTCGCTGAAACGATTTAATTGGTCACGTGGTCTACCTCTGATCTCATATCTATAGCGTACTATATCTATGTACGATTCTTTTCATACCTAGCGTTTTCATCATCGTAGCTACAAGTCGATCTAAACACTTTCAAGAATGTGCTGACTAAAGGTAATCCAAAGATTTAACTCAACTTTTGTAGTCAAGTCTTCACACACCGGTCATAAGATCAAAATTGTTTTGGGCATGCTAAGTAGTAAATAGAGAAGCAGCTTGTACGCTTGATCAGTTTGTTTTGGCGGTCCCCGCACAATTCACGTGACTGTGAGTGTTTTGAAAATGAACTAGTGCAATGGCATGCTAGCGAGTCATACGACCAACCAGTATACCTTAGCGCTCCGTGCATTGGTCAAAAAATTGTGAGTGGCTTACGAGAGTCAACGCTGAGATAATCCGTTCGGAATGTAAAGTTAGGAGCCACTGCAGAAAAAAACTGTGGCCCATAGCAGCAACCATGACTCTGCTATCTGTGTTACTTGACAGGTAGCACTTTGGTTCTTTTAACTAATAAAGTGGTTATAAGGAAAGTATGACAACAGTGTCAGGAAGTCACTGATTGGCTCTTTCTCTCTTTCCATGACACTTAGATTTCGCATGTTCTCCCCTTCGCTCAACAAGGTTTTTCATACTTTTCCTGCCAACCTTACAAATACTTACATGCAACACTTTGGCTTTATAAAAGCAGACCCTTATGTTAGTGGTAAAGGTTGGTTTTGACAGGCCAAAGTGTAGTAACAACTACTAATATATGTATCAAGGAGTTTTTTTTCTTATTATTCCATAAAATGACTATGGTTGAAAATTGCTACATATCTCTATTTAATAACATATTGGGGCAATGTTAAAAAATTAACTTTTTTTCTCCTAAATATCTTAGTTCAAAAAAGCTAGTGGTTTGAAAATTCAAGAAAGTATTGCTCTGGATAACATAAATAAGTGTTGTGAATGCCAGGTTGACTGGCTTAAAACTGTGCAAGAACTCAGCAAATGAATATTTTTTTTTTTAGTAGCAAAACATGTAATTTTGTCTAATGAACGTATTAAACTAAAATCAAATGAAAATAAGAAACAAAAAACTTTTTTTTTTTTTTGACATTCCGTAGTAATAATATATTAAAAACAACAATTTTGGCAGATTTTTTCGATGAAAAAGTGGTGAATAAGAAAAAATTGTCCAATAATCAGCTTGCATTATAATTTTATTAAACTAAAATAGTTTTTTAAATATTTTGGCTTGATTTAAGTAAAATAAGTTTATGAGACGAAAATTCTATGTCTTACAGTTAAGAAAATAAAAGTACTTTGTAAAATTTTCGCTAAGATTCAAACTTACCTAGCTGATATACACAATAGTAATACATGTTATTAGGTGCAACACTTCCTTGAATGTTTGAACCTCGAGCCTTATTTTGATGAGATAACTAATATAAAAAAAAGTCAATTTTTGAACTTAGAACGTAATCCGTTAATCAATCAAAGCACTTAATGACTTTTGACCTCAGTCAGTGAGTAGAGAAGTAAAGAAAGCACAAAGTCTTTTAGGCGCATTAACGCCTCGTACGAAGTCTATTCTAATTCAGATTCTCCGATGTTAATTTAAATGAGAAAATGTTAATAAGGCGAGACTACGTACGAGGTGTCAATATATTCTTTGAAAAATGGACTGAAAAAAAAATATATTCATGAAGTAGTGGAAAAAGCTCCATTTTTTTGTTATTATTAAATTAAAAAATGTATCCTCAACAACTCAGATTAAGTGAACTTTAAAAGAAAAGATGTTTGTTTTTCTTAAAACAGCTTTTAATTAATGAAAAACTTGTAATCCTTGAAATTCATAAACGTAGTGAGTACTGACTTTAAAGTTGAAACTAATTATGTACTTTTTATTTTTAAACACTACTCATAATAAAATCAGATAAAAAAGAATGCATAAGTATTAAATTGAAGAAGTATAAACTAGTGGTCAATAAGTAACCAACACCTTGTTGATGACTAAATTTTTTTGGCTACTGCTTCGATGACTCGGAAATAGTAAATTGTAGATGGTAAGAATTAGGGACTATTTTAGTAGCTTGTTTAAATTTCTGATACTTAAAGAGAAAATGACAAAAAACCGTACTTTCTAACTTTATAAGTCTAACTATTTATCAAAGATAAAGCAATGTTTCTTTGATAGCCATAATTAAGTAGCTGTAATGAATGCTGAAGGTAATGTTAATACGTTAAATACTAATGCATCGTGTTAATGTACCCATGATGTATTGGTATTAGCTGATCATTTTTTTAAAGCAAAAATCACTTGCACATAGTTTGTGCTTACATTGAAAATAGATAAAAGAATTCAGACAGAACTGAAAAAACACTTTAAAAATCAGATCCACTATTTTGAGTAGCAGTTGCATGAGAGTCTTGCTTTATTAATGCTTAAAATAATAATAATGTATTCCGTTAAGAACTTTTTTAATTTTTTATCATCAGGTTGCATAAAAAAAAATGGAAAAGACAAAACGCTTGGGATTTACGAAACTTATGCATACATACTAGTGTATGCATTCATTCATGCATACAAACAAAATGGTACTTTAATTATGTATCATTTTATTATTAAACTAATTCGATTTGGAAATATGGGATTTTAAATGGTTTTGGCCCGATTTTTACGTCAATCTTGTAAAGTGACAGTTTTTAGTAGCTGTAAAACATTTCTTTCGTTACTTTTTCTGTCATTCCAAAATATCTATTCTTGAATTAGAAGGTTTAAAAGTATTTAAAATTTATCCCTAAAAGCATTTGAATAAATGGATATCTGTTTTATACTCTTATGACCAAGGATTTCTATGATAATAAGGATAAGAGTCCTTGGTCATGAAATCATGATAAAAGTTATCCATTCATTTGGATGCTCAAAGTCAAATGTACAATTAATACTTACGTAATGAACTCTAATATCTTATTTACAGTATTAGAAATTCCATATCTTTTCTCACATTTGTTTTTTCTATAATTAAAAGAAGAATACTAATCACATAATTATTTGATTTACAAATTGCCTTACGTATTAAAAATTTAATTAACAGTCAGAGCTTTCACTGCTAGTAGCTTACATAATAAAGATTCCGCAGCAACTTGTTCTTGGCGCCTAATGAGGTACATGTCATAAAAAAACAAAAGAATATATCGACTGTCGCAGTATAAACTCGGCTTCAGGTTGATCGTATTCTTTATTAAAAAAGTTACCGTCACGTGCATAAGTCGATGTATGTGATAAGTAAGTTTTTAAACTATTTTCGTCATTTCTGAGGTACTGCTCAAGTTCTAAAAATATTAGAAAAAGATTAAAAACAACTAAGACTGTAAAAAACTTGTTTGTTAAATAACCTTCTAATTTATTCATTAGTTTATTTTATGCCATTGTAAAAACTTACAATAAAGATTTTTCGTTGGAAAAACGTTATTTATATAATATTTATATCAGACTTCTGATAAAGAAATGAAAGAGGAAAATGTGAGGAAAATTTGTTTTAATAATTAGTAAGACTTATCACCTCAAAACGATGAAAAACATAGAAATTACGTTGTAGTAACTTATCTAAAAAATTCCAATACAAGTTCATTGACAAGTATACTTTCTATTTTTTTCGAAAAAAAAAAAAAAATTACGTACTAGTTTTTAACAACAAAAACATCTTATTCAACACCTATTTTATTGTAACCCTTGTGAAAATGCATAATTGCGACGTTTCTCTAAACTAATATTTCTGTAGAAGACGAAAAAAAAACGAAATTGATCGCCTCATGGAAAAAAAAAAGCCGAAACAGACTTTGAAATTGGGAAAATTTAATGGAATAATCTCACTCGTTGAGCATCACAATAGCAGATGCCTATGGCGTAACCAGTCATCATTGCAATTATTGCCTAGTCCATCAAAAGATAGTATTATAGTAGACTTACAGAATAAAAAGATTGACCCACAACCAGTACTAGACAGTTTTGCTGTTATCAAGTACGATTCATCTTTTCTATCATCAGAAGAAGGGGCTCAACATCCAACTACAGGTCTCGATTCCTTCAGTAACCAGATACAAATAAAATCAGTATTTAAATCTCAAAAACAAAAAAAAAAATTTTCACTTGAAAAAAAACGTGCGACATTTACACAAATACATTATCACTTAGTAAATAGTGAAACAGATTTAGACTTAACTCAAGAAACAATATACGATACTGTAGTTAATTCTAGATTGGATCATAAAGAACGGAGTCAAACTCAACAAAACCTGGCAAGACATATAAGTGTGCACAAATTTGATACTTTTTCAACGTTTGAGGGTACATTTGATGAAGACACTGGCTTAGGCTATCTTGCTGGCATTGACGAGGACATAACACAAACTATGGAACAAATCATTATTCCTACTTCTGATATCAGTAAAGAAAGCTTGGTAATGAAATTTTATAACTTTTAAAACTCTTTATATTAACGAGGCCACTTTAAGAAACTGCAATTAAAACTTATTAATTTACGTATATCACACTGACTAATAACTAAAACTTGCATTATTTTATCATCATTATAAATACTCTTGCTCAGTAATCAGAAGTTTTCTACGTAACTACAGAAATTATTGCTCCAGCTAAATACGACTTCAAATCTTAATGTCTTTACAAAGTTTAAGAAGTGTTTCCGCTGATGCATGTTCGCAAAAAACTAAGAAATATGAGAGTTGTGCTAGCAAATTAATTTGTCATAGCTATTCTACTACTATTGAAAAAAAAGTTACATTCTTCTTAAAAATAGTAACCAAAATAGAAAAAAGTGCTTGGTCTGTCATTTCATGTACACTATATCCTGCGAAGTACGACAGCTAGGAAAGAAAATTTAGGATTATGAAACATTCTTCATGATACGTTTTTAACTAATAACACTATTGTAAAATTATTCAAATAACTGATGGGAGCTTGCATAAAAAAATATATATATATGCCTTGCTATTAAATTGCATTTTGGAATGTTGTAGTTGAGCTAGAAGTTTTTGCAACGTTAAACATTAGGTGTAGTGTACTTATTGCTATGAATAATACATTTTTACAACCATCCCTACACTTATTACATACAAAGCTAACTGAGTTTGACGTACAATATCTTGTAACAAACCTAAATAAAATTATGTTAAGCCTATGAGGTAGTTGATACGTATTGTTCTGAGGCATTTATGACAATAAATACAATCAATAGTTATCTCTTAAATAATTTGTTTTCATAGCAAGTTTATAATTTTCAAGCTTTGTGTGGATTTATATGTATAAGAAAATTATATGGAAAGAATGTAATAGTGGTGGCTAATTTATTGAATAGCATTTCTTTAAGAGTTTAATTATTAATGGAACAGAGGAAATAAAAAATAAAAAAACAACAACGCAACTTGTAGTATTTATACTAAAAGCCTTCTTTACTCCACACTGTAAGGATTTTTAATTCTTAGCACCTATGATATTTGTATTAGATTGGTGAGTAAACAAATAAAACTTAGTAGTAAAGATATCGAAACAAAGAATTTTATTAAAAAGCGGACAACTTTTTCAAGAAACGTAACATCAATGATTTATTTTTAATTTATGTTTTTGTGAAGTTCTGTGATTAGTAATTTATGAATATAAATATACCTTTCATGAAACATCACGGTGTACGTAAGTGGTAAAATTATCGTTGGAATAAGTATATGTACTTCTATTGGTCGTAGTTTCAGTAAATATTTTAATGTTTCATTAACAAACAGTGTAAAATAAGGTATAGTGGGACAACGAAAAAATTGCAGGGTATAGTGGGACAGGAGGAGAAAATCGTAACTGGTAAACTCGTTTGTCAAAATATATCCTTAAAAAAATTTCCTAATGTTCCTTTATCTCTTAGCTACATAAGACTCTCAAAATTGATTGTGGTAAACGTTCAAGGGAGAATCAAAAAGATATTTTATCAAGCTGTCCAAACACTAGTTTGATGCATACGTTTTAAGCAAGGTATTTTTCCCATTTTAGATGTAAGACTAAGGTTGACTATCAAGATGATATACCGAAAATGAAATGTTTTTCTTACGTTCAAACTATTTATACGTGATAATATGACACTAAAGAACAAGTTTTATTAAGTAGGTCTTAAAAATAATTACTTTGTCATAAAATATAGCCTGTCCTAGTATACCCTTATTTTCTGGAAACACCATGTAGAAGTAGGACGAGGCTTATCATTGCTGTCCCACTACTGCATCCTTTTTTTTAAAAGCTAAGTAGTAGTGGGACAAGTATTTGACAAGACCAAATTCTATTTTTAACGACTGTGATTTCATGCTTTTGACTATAGTAAAAACTATATATAGTAAGTGTGCGAGTGTCATAAGTCAAATCCTTAATAGTAAAATTAAACTCAAATATATTTGTAGGATTAGTAGTTAAGCAAATGAGAGCATTGTTACCTGGTAAATAGACATAATCTGAAATCTAACCTGAATGCAATCTGTAATAATCCATCCTGCCCAATGTAAAAAAATCAACTTTGCAGAAAATGATGTATAATTTCAATAATTAATTTTCATCATACTCATATTTAAAAAAAACTGAACAAAATCAATACCTCTGAAAATTGTAAACAGAAAAATACAAGTATTAGTTTACTCACATTATATCTTCGTTTGGTATTTCAGCCTTTTAAACTTGCATATTTATTATCTGTACAGGAGAATCAAATAATTATCCTTTATAAAATTTTTTCTGTAACCAATCTTAATTTTCAGATCAAAAAGAAAGCAGCTAAGAAAAACCGACCCGTGGTGGTTGTAGTGTAGTAACAACTACTAATATATGTATCAAGGAGTTTNAAACTTGCTTCTTATCTCCACAAAAAAATTAAATAATTATCCTTTAAAAAATATGTTTTCTGTAACCAATCTTAATTTTAAGATCAAGAAGGAAGCAGCTGAGGAAAACCGACCCGTGGCGGTTGTTAATAATTTGACACATTACTTGAAAAAAAGAGAAAACATTAAAAAAGCAGTAGGTTTTAGTTAATAAACAAAAAAAAGAAGAAATAAAAATGCTAAAGAGTACGAAAAAAATTTAAACAAGAAGTTTCAAAAGAGTAAAAAACTGTTACGAACAAAAAAAGAAAATAACTTGAAAATTGAAAATTAAAAAAAACATTTTTAATAAGAAAACCGAAATGCTAATAATGACTAGATAGCACAGGAAATAAAAAATGTTTATCTAAACTTGAAGACAATGAAAAAGCATTAAGTACGTGTGAAGTTCATTTATTGCAGAGCAAAAAAAAAAGAAAAAAAAGTTTTAAGACCTTAGAAACTAATATTTATTTTAAACTTGTGTTCACTATTATCATTTTCGTAGTTTGTACTTTTAATATTTATATTGTTTAGTTTATGTTGTATTAGACAATATTTTTTCCTTAAAAATTAAAAAAAAATGTTTAAATAAGAAGACCGAAATGCGAATAAAGACTCAATAGCACAAGAAATGGAAAAATGTTTATCTGAACTTGAAGACAATGAAAAAGCATTAAGTACGTGGAAAGTTTATTTATTGCAGAGCAAAATAAAGAGAAAAAAAAAAAGTTTTAAGACCTTAGAAACTAATATTTATTTTAAACTTCTGTTCACTATTATTATTTCCGTAGTTTGTATTATTAATAAATATATTATTTAGTTTATGTTGTATTAGACAATATTATTTTCTTCATTATTAACGGACGTAGTTAGTAGGGATTTTGTGATATTGTTGAAAAAAATTTATATAAAAGAGAAATCCCTATTAATCTATAATTTTTTTATATTTAGATACTCTCAAAAGTGATAATTCACCTCTTATAATTAAAAATTGTGTTCTCATAATTATATGCTAAGAATATTATCATATACTGTCTCACTACTACCACAAACAGTGTCCTACTACTGCCGTAATCCTCAAAGACTATGTCATACTACTGAAGATTTCACGACTTATTTAAAAAATTATTTAATTAAACAGATAATGATAAGCACAGTCAATAAATATTGTTTCCTTAAGTAAAGACCTATATTTTCAATTTAAAAAAAAATTTAGGTGAATTAGCATTGGTGGAATTTCAAAAATAATGAATAAATATTTTTTGCTTTAAAAGTATCCCGCTACACCCCATTTTACCTTATAAACAATACATGACGTGAATGAAAAAGTCTTACAACTAAACCATGCAAAGATGTGCTTATTACATCTCTAACATAAGGCTCATGTTCGTCATGTACACACTTATTCTTAGTCCATGTTTAATATCCACGATATATTTGTATCTAAAGAGCTGAAAACATTGATCTTGTTGAACCATTTACACATTAGGATAGTATTACAAGCCAATAAATTTCGCATCAAGAAGTTCATCACACATAGATTTTTTTAACAGATACTATTCAAACATTAAATGTATACACAAAACATTATCAGAAATACCCACAAGAAGTTGTAGATCGTTGAACTGAAATTTTTTTTTATATGTTTGATTTGAGAAATATTGTAATATAAAGAAGTCATTGCACACTTTATTTAAAGATGAAAATATTTTATTTTAAATTGATGTCGTGAAAAAACATTGCATGTATGTTGTTACCAAATCTTAACACGGTCGTGTCTACATGTTTCAAGAAATAAGTTCATGAAGTTACTCTTTTCCACTGTTTTTATATGCATAAGCATAAATATAAGTCTTCCAAAAAGTTGTGGAAAACGCATACCTATTATGCTTGACACAGTGATGAGAATGTTTTAAAAAACTGATGTATTATTCATGATAACGTCATTTATACAAGTGCGAAGTGTCAACAAAATCGCGTGATGTTATAGAGATATTAGCCCAAACGTAAATAAATTTGTTTCCAGCTCGTATGTTACATTTATGCGGAAGACAAGGACGCATTTAGTACACTATCTGCCATCAGCTCAATTTTTTACGTGGCTCGACGGTTTTTCACAAAATCACTTCTAGAAGTCATTCAACTCAAAATTATGATCTAAAACTTGGTATAGGCCTTAATGAGACATTGTACTTTAATCGATGTATCATTAAAGTCCTAAATTTTAAGAATTCATAGCACACTTCTATCGAAAGAAGATCAGATTAATCATATTGACTATGCCGTTTACTCCTTATTTTCCATCTTCCATACAAAATTTATTAATGCCGTTTGATTCATACTATAAAAAACTAGACACCTTGTACAAAGTTCCGTAGTTTTTCTGAAGAATATTACTAATACATTAGTCAGTTCTGGCGAGAAACAATGAGTAAATAAAAAACAAGAGATTACTTCAGCAGACTTTATCACAGCGCCTTATGCACATGCATGAACATGCTCCCCTTCCCCTTACCCTTTAATGAGAGTGACGTTACTCTCTAAGGACG